AAAAAGTCATATATTTTTTTTCAAGCAGAAGATGAAGGTAAAATTGGCCTCACAACTTTTAAGCCAATCTGTGGCAGATTCTTTAAAATTTTGTAAGCATAATTTAGGCCTTGAAGAATTTTCAAACGTAGATGGAACAGTAAAGTTTATCGAGATGTTTAATGCCGCATTTGATATTCTCAATTCTAGATCCATCAACTGTATTGGAAATAAAAAAGCTATTTGCAAAGAAAATTTTCAACAAGTGTTTGAATTTACAAAGTTAATGACTGATTACATAAGAGGACTGAAAGTGAAAGATAAAGGTGTATTTGTACCTGTATTAGAATCAAGTAGAAAGACTGGTTTTCTAGGATTCATTGTATGTTTGAATTCTACCTTACACTTGTATTCAACTTTAATTAATTCAAATATCTTAGACCACATTAGAATGTATAAAATAAGTCAAGATCATTTGGAGTTGTTTTTTGGTTCAGTAAGAGCAATGGGTGGTTACAACAATAATCCCTCATCACGCCAATTTCAATCCGCATACAAGAAGTTGGTAATACAATCACATAACGTTGGTAATTTTAGTACTGGAAACTGCATTCCTTTAGAAAATATTGACATACTGCATTATTCCAGTACTGATCCAATCAAAACAATAAATAGTTCTACATTCAACAATAATAAAGATATTAATTTTTCTGAAAAAAATATTGAAGAGGTCGATTCATTTATAAATGACCATGATTATATTTGTCATCAAAATGTGTATGATTTTTCTAATTTCTCTAAGGAGGTGATAATTTATATTGCAGGATTTGTTGTGCATAAGTTGTTGTCAACCATTAAATGTGATACTTGCCAACAATCCTTATGTTCAAAAAACCGAGAACCATTTTGTAACTCCTTAATTGCTGTTAAAAATAAAGGAGGTGATAAAGGAGGACTACATTATCCCAGCGACGATGTAATTTTGATTTGTATGCAAACTGAAAAATTATTAAAATCATTCAATTATAAAAATCAACCTGCGAACTCATTATATATCCAAACTAAAGTTCTCAATCATTTTTACAACTCTAATATATTCATTTCATTAAAATCACACAGTCTAGAAAGCAGTAGTCCATTAGCTGACCATTTAACTCTACTAATAAAATCAATTGCATCCATCTATATCAAGCTTAAAGTAAACTATAGTTTAAAGTCAACAAATGAAACCCCATCTTTAAGAATGTGGTATAATAAATTGACACTATTTAAAGGACAGTGAAATTTTCTATTTATTTTTTTTCTATTGTAATATAGTCCATTATTATTTATTATATTATTTAGTATTTATTCATTGTACATAAAGTTTAGGTGATGACGGTGATGTATAATTCTATAAATTATAATATAAATATAATATATAATGTCTTATAATATTATAATATTACCTAATAAATTATGTTAAATTTCAATTAGTGCCAGTTTTGGTATGCTATTCCTAAAACTTTAAAGTATACCTATATTTTTTTAACTCATTATTTTAAAACATAACATAAATGTTTAACTGCTATAATTTTAAAACTGATTTTTAAACTACGATTTACGGCGACATTATTATGGCTCAATAAATAAATATAATTGGATAGGTTGGCTAAACTGTTTACATCTGTACAATATTATAGTCCATAAAACTGGTAGTGCCGTAAATTGTGTCTACGTTTTTGGCTTCACTTTTTAGCAAAAACGGCACCTCTATATTACTCTATGCGCTAAACTCGGCCGGCGGTCGCTATCCGAGTTAATAGTTATTATTAAATATTATTTATTTATTTAATTTGATGATTATGATAGTTAGATAATTATAATTATAATTAATTATAATAAATTAGTTATAGTTAATTATAATTATTATTATAATTATGCATTTATAACAAAAAGAATTGAACTTGTTACCTATAATTTATAAAGTACCTATTATGTAGTAATAAGTTTTGATAATTTTTTTTTCTTGTAACTTTTCTTTTTTATTTGTTTGTTTTGTGACCAAGTAAACTGTTTCATTCTCATAGTGATGTAGTATTGGAAAATATTTGTCATTATTTCAGTTTTATGATCACTACAAGGAAATGTCAGTAAATCACCATGTTCTTCAAGAACATGATCAATTGTTTTGTTTAAAACGTCCAAATCTATACAATGTTTGACATAACCTTCCTCCATGGCTGATATTAGTTTGAAAAAGTTGTGATATGGATATATCAGGTAACCTCTAATTTTCAAATTAGTAAATTCGGCTTCAGGTTGTTTTACATCCAAGTAATTTCCTAGAGTTCAATATTAGTAAATTATTAAATTATCAATTTATACTTCTTTGGTTTCTGTTGCTTCAGTTGCCTCAACTCTAGAGTTGTATTAGAACTGGTACTGTTCCAACACGAATATGTCCGAGATATATTACATGGATTGAAATGTAACTCGTACACTCGTGATGTTGATAATATATATTTTCCATTTACTTCAGATAGAATATTGATACATTCTTTGCAAATATTTAGATCTTTTGGTAAAGTAAATAATACATTTTTTTTATTTTTTTCATTATGTGAAACAATTTATTACACAACATCTCACCATGGTTGTATGTATTTTAAGATGAACATAGAATAAAATTAAAATTATAAACAATATTCAGCATGAACCTATCTTAAAAAAATTAAACATCAAGTCACCAAAGTTCGAACAGACTGTATCACACAATTATTATAATATATTAGGTTGGTGTGAAATGTATAATTATATATTTTATGAAGCATGAAAAATGAGGGAAATTAAGCTCCTGTTAATGTTGATTAGCATACCGATTTATTAATTTCTAATTTTGAATATATATATATATATAATATATAATATTTTGAATTTAGGGTTGTGGGGGCCCCAGAGCCCACATAATATTGAAATATAAGAATTTTTAGTTGATCTACATGCTTTAAACATAAAATTCAAAATTATATTACTTTGCTTTATAGAACATAATTAATACAGATTTATAAAATGTTAATGCAATTAATAAGTAAATACAAGTAACCTTTAAAGTTATGTCTTTTTATTTTTTCATTTAGACATTTGTACATTTAGTACATTAAAAGTTAAAACCATTGAATAAGTTAATATTAAAATATATTTGATGCTAATGAAAACTAAAATAAACTCTTCAAATTATTTTCAACAAAAAAATTGATACCATAAATAATATTTAGTACGTTAGTTCAACGTTATTTTACAATATACAAACATAAATATAATGTACAAATTAATTATAATAAACATACTTTTCTTAACTTCTTAATAGAAAATTGTTTAATGGTATCTTCTAAGTTCAAGGACCTAAGTACATCACTTTCAATACTTAAAATGGTTAAGTTGGATAGACGATCTTGTGTCATTGTAGTTCTCAATTTATTTTTTATAAGTTTCATTTTTGAAAATGAGCGTTCTCCACTACTGTTTGCCGCCAATAACACCAAGTACATACGCAGAGCAATGTCTACATTTGGAAATGTAACTTTTAAATTATCTTCGAAGAGTATCCTGAACAAAAATAATTCCCACGATTCTTCTTTTCTACAATCTTTTTGACGTAAATTAACCAAACTATTAAACTGCAGTAATTCATTCCCTAAAGTTGCTTCTAAATCTTCAGAGTATATATTGACCAGATTTGTGGCAGATAATAATAATAATGAAGGTTCTATAATTCCTAATTTGCTGAAAAAAACCGAATAATCTAGAAATGAATTTCGTTTATCTTGAACAAAAAGTTTCAAAAAAGTAAGAGCTGTTACCGAAGATTGAAGAACCATCTTAGGATTTTGTAGCAAGTGATTTGTGACGTTGAAGCGGTCTAAAATGTCATTCCAAAATAACAAATAAAATGCAATTTCAAAACTAATGATTTTTTTCAGAAGTCCATTCGCTTCATTTTTAACGACTTCTTTTGCTCTGGGTCTTTTGAAATATAGTCCAAAGTAACTTTAAATTCATTATAACTTAATACTAATGCTTTGGTGGCATCTGCTCTACATGAATAACGAGTATCAATTAAATCTTTAGGAATATGAAATTGTGTATTCGAATCTTTCAATGATAACTTCTTGGTTTGAATTTGATATCTCGATGGAGATGCTGTAAAAAATACGTATATATTTTGAACGAAATCAAAGAATTTTATAGCACTAGGACATGAGTTAGCTGCAGTTTTTCAGACTAAATTTAAAGAATGCCCACAGCATGGCACAAAAAATGTGTAACCCATTTACTCGTTTATAAAAGCCTGCATTTCATTGTATTTCCCACTCATATTTGCAGCGTTGTCATATGACTGCCCACGACAGTATTTTATATCGATATCATAATCTTTTAAATAGTGAATAAGTATTTCAGCTATAGCTTTACCCGTATGGCCACTGAGTTTAGGAAAAAAAAGCAAGTGAAAGAAAAGCAAAATGAAAAAAAAGCATATTGGAAAAAAAGACGAAAACCAATTATTATTATTATAGGTATAAATTATTGCAAATAGCTTGCTAAAAAAAAATCTAATAAAAATAATTCATTAATTAAATATATTATGTATACTAGCTGATCCTGTTCACTTCGTTGCCTGTTAAATGTACCAACTCCATATGACCTCAAACTGTATTCAATTTGTTATTTAATATTCGGTGTATGGTATTCAGAACTTATCTAAACTTTTCCATTACCCAGAGTAAAAATTCTGATTCGTAGCACTATATTAGCTGAATTACCCGGCTTCGCCCGAGTGAAAAATTTTTGTGTATCACCTCCCCGTCACCGTACTCGTCCTGTCGGGGCAAAACATTCTCCTGAACAGAACCGTCGCCCTGGTGATAGGGCGATGTGAATAAAAAATAATTGAATAAAACATATATAAGCATTCAAAAGTAAGTAATCGCTTTATTGTTAATCATGTGAATTATAATTATTAACAAAGATCAGTTGTATTTTCATTGTAGTGCTTTGTGATATACGATGTTTTTTGTTTGATTACCTGGCGCATAGACAAACAAATCTGATGGTTTCCCAACACTGGAACAGGCAACATACAATTGACCAAGTGAGAAACATGGGTTTTCCAGATTAATACCACAAACACTTAATGATTGCCCCTGGGACTTGTTTATGGTAATAGCAAGAGCAAGCCGCACTGGAAACTTTAGTCGTTTAAACTCAAATGAAACATCAGTCGGAATCATTGGGATGCACGGTATGAGAACATTTATACTTTCCTTTCAGTAAAGTTGCTTCTATTTAGTAATTTTTTTATCGCTAACCGTGTGACGTTGCAAAGACGCAATTGGTTGATATTTCGCAACATTATAACTACCGTTCTAACGTTTAATTGAAGTTTGTGAGGTGACAACCCTGGTAAATCCAGCGAGTTTAAAAATGCCGGTGGATAGTTGACTACATCATCTTGGTTAGTTGCCGAATCAACTGATTTATATATCCTCGATTCACCTGTAATTTGTTCTTGAATTTTCCATTTATATCTATGTTTTTTGCAGCCAATATAGCTCGTTCGCTCAACTAATCATGGTTTCTATAATTTCAAGCAACATCTGGAAACACCTTCTGAATAAGTTCATCTTTTAATCGAGTTAACTGACAAAAACTTCGAGGAAAGTTAATACAGCCAGTCAACATGTCTATAGGAAATTTTCCATTACCAATGTCAATGAGTTGTTTAGAGAATATGTTTCCAGATTGGTCATTTTGCAACTCGACACTCATATTTTTGTTTAAATGAAGTACTTTGACATGTTTCCACAAATTGGAGGACTTTAGACATGCATTGAGTTCATTAGCTGGCGTTGATCGTGGAATCACTGGCAATGTTTGACGAAAATCTCCTGCTAATAAAATCATTGCACCACCAAATCGGTTATGATTGCTTCGCAGATCTTTTAAGGTTCTGTCTAAAGCCTCCAACGATTTTTTATGTGCCATCGTGCATACATCCCAAACAATCAATTGACATTGCTGCAAAACCTTTGCCATTGCAGAGTTCTTCGAAATATTGCAGGTTAGAGTTTAATTGCTTTGTATATTTAATGGCAGTTTTAGTGCTGAATGGGCTGTTCGACCACCTTCAAGCAAAGTTGCTGCGATTCCCGACGAAGCGAGTGCAAGTGCAATTTTATTTTGTGAGCTAATTGTTACTAATATTAATGAAATGAAAAAAGTTTTTCCTGTACCACCAGGTGCATCTAAGAAGTATATCCCTCCAGTTTCATCATATGTTACTTTCATAAGAATATCAAATACATACTTCTGTTTGTTATTCAACAGTGGAAGATTTATTTGAATTAATTCTTTCAAAGTGTTGAGATCATACAGTTTTTCTCGGTGCACCTCTGGGTTAAAAGAACCATGCATTGGACGATTGACCGCGGTCAGGCCTAATTGAATTAATAGTTTGTTTGACATCATCAAGCACATGTTCTCAATTGAAATCAATGCTTCGTTGTAAATTTCTTCACTGATTTGTATATTTGGATTTCCCATTCTATTCCGTATTTGATACAAAAAATCAATCACACATATAATCTTTGTACTTGATCCACAAATCGATTGGATTTGATGGGAAACATGTACATATGATTATAGAAAACAATGTTCGTATTTAGTGAGCATGTGATATTACAGAATTATTGAGAGTTTGATCCCAATGATCGTCATTTTCTAGCAATTGAAAACGTTGACAGGCTTCCCTGTTGTGTACACACAATTCACTATCAACAGTTTGTGAATGTTGGATTGATGTTGGGCCACGTACATTGACTAATAGCAGTCGTAAATAAAAACATTCATCATTGCTTGGATGTACTGAATAAATTCGACCAATCGCATATACATCTAGGTATTCTGGAACTGATTTTCCTTGTTTCCGTCGTATAAATCTCTTTGAGGATTGATTCCAAGTATAATATTTTGGCATTTCAGAATATAGCAATGTTTGTGCAAAATCATCGTTTTGGCATAACTCAAAGAAACTGGTCAATGTTAATATAGTAGAAGGTGGCTGAGCAGCTCTTTGTACTGCGTTTTGTGCTGTTAAGTACACTCTGTCCATTTTCTAAATGCACAGCTAAGTGAACAACAGTAGGGTGTCTCTCATGAATAGGAAAAGAAAATATTCGCCTAACTGCTCCATTACTACTAACATAGCGGCCCATTTGGTATCGGGTAACTTCATTATTGGAATTCTCTGCACCAATTCCAATCACAGCTATATCATTCCCTTTGGTTACATATTTGCAAATGTATCAAATAGATGTCACTAAATGGCAAGATTAAACGTTGATGTGTGCTTTGAAGGTCTTTGATAAAATGGGTGAATATGGAACAATCCAATATCTTGTTGATTTAATTTAGAGGTCTCGATTACACGTGTAATGAACTACACGGGTACCCGTGTTTTTACACAAGACGGGATTAAGGCCCGTGTAATAAAAATTCTCGTGTATCTAAATACCCGTGATCTTGAATACTCTTATATTTAAATAAAATCAAATTTTACTACTTGCAGTTCTGACTTACGATTACTCCACTTCCTGAATTCAATATGATAGAACACATCATATAATATTTTGTTCACTACATCTTAGATATTTTGTGTCATAACATTTATCAATAATATTAATAAATTATAATAAGTAAATAAATGTGTGTATGTAATTGATGTTATTTACGTGTAACTGATAATGAAAAGTATTTGTATTTGCATGATTATTAAATAACAAAATAACAATAAACATGTTTATAAATATATTAATAAATTAATAAATTCTAATAATAACAATATTAAATTAATCAACGGCCAGTAGATGGTAACCCATATACTTATACAAAAGTTAACAAAGCAATCACTTACAATCTATGAAGTTATAATAATTGTTTGTTCTGGTGAAGAAAAATCAGCATGTTTACGGTCTCGGGCGCCAAACAACTTCTCTTGGCCGTCTCTATGTTTCCAGCGGTTGAGAAACATCTTTCAGAACTAACTGACGTTGCTGGTATCCCTAAATATTTCGTTGCCAGAGCAACAATTAGTAGATATTTTGATGCACGCGTCTTCCGCCATTCTAGTGCATCAAAATCAAATTTTAACTGTGGTTCTGCCAAGTAATGTTGATACTGAATGTCATTATCAGCTGTATTACAATTTATTTCATCACCGAACAGAAATTCAAGATCCCCGTGATGTTTATTGACAGGTGTTTCAATTTTCACATCGCAATTAATTTCAGCTATTTCTTTTATCAAATTTTTAACCCGTGTCCGAATTTCTTCCCTTGCATCAACCGTTTCATGCTCTAAGTCCTTGAATCTTGGGTCGATTAAAGACGCTATTTGCCTAGCAGACACGACACTAGAAGGACACCACAATAATTTAAAACGATCTGATAGTTCCCTAATTACAGTGGTTTTAAAATATTCAGTTATTTCATCATCACTTACATTATGCTTTAAATATTTTTATATAATTGCGTTTATAAGAGGCCTAACCATTGAAATAGAGCAATATTTTTTGCCAAAAAAAACCGAGGTCATAATCTGTAGAGGTTTAAGCAATTTAATTAACGTTTCTACATCTGTCCATTGGTGCTCTGTCACTTCAAATTTGTGTGCCATTGCTGCTGTAGTAAACGAACGATCAGCAAGAACATTTGAAATTGGGCACCTATTTTTATAAAGTCGATCAAGCATCATATATATAAAGAGTTCCATCTGGTTTTACAGCTTTGAATTAAAGTTTCTGTTGGCAAACCTAGTTGGTCTTGCTTATCTTTTAAATACTGTATTCGATTTCAAAACTGATCGCAGAGCAAACGATAGGTATCTAAGAGAACATTATACCCAAATGTGTTGTCTCCATCTTACATGCCTACTAATGGTACCTACTACATGGCAAAATTTTGTTTGCAAGGTTCAATAGTGCGCTATTAGTTTTGATATTAGAATGAATTGATCTATTATAAAATTTAAAGGTAAGATTATTAAATGGTGCCCCACACAGGCTTTTACTGATATTATTTTTAAGTAACTTATGATTATTTTAAAATGCAGTTTCAAAAAGCATGTTTTTCTAATTTGAATTTATCGTAATAAGTAATCACCTTAAGGGGCACTTTTTTTCGTGCGCTTTGTTGGCGGTGGCTGTGGCAGGGAGGCTGTCTTATTGCCCGGATCGTCGCTTTGGTCGTTAGGCACGTCTTCGATGATGCCAATGCTTTCATTGGTGTTCAAGCCGATGACATCGTTGTTCATTTTGGCTGAATCATCGTTATTCATTTCGGCGGAATCATCGTTATTCATTTTGGCGGAGTCATCGTTATTAATTTTGGCGGATTCATCGTTATTAATTTTGGCGGAATCATCGTTATTCATTTTGGCGGATTCATCGTTATTCATTTTAGCGGATTCATCGTTATTAATTTCAGCGGAGTCACCATCGTTGGTCTCGTGGTCTCGTGTCCGCTCATTTCGTTGACTTCCTCGACAACGGCGTGTGGAGTGCCGTGTATGGCGTCGATCAAGCTTAATACAACCATGGCTTCGAGATCGGAGTTCAACCTGCGCGATTGTTTTCTGTGCCGGCAGAGCCGTGTACGACGGCGCCTGGGCCTTTTGGATGGTGATGGGTCTTCCTCATCCGATGAAATTAAGTTTATCTTTTCAGTCGATCTATCGTCGTCATTCAAGACAATTACGTCAGAATCAGAATCAAAATCAGAATCTCCGTGCACCACTTAATTAATTGTAAGAAAAGCCATATTTTCGGAACACAAACGGCTACGAGTCTACGACACCGATAACAAGATTACCACAACCGTTACGAACAAGGACCGGTACAAATCAGTATTCACTGTTGAGAACGTCAAAAGTGTATGAACTGGTTGTGAAAATCGACGGGGCGCTGAAAAATATTACCGATATGGGCGAACGACCGGCCTAGTGTAGTAATTTATCGTGAGAGCGGCGGAAAACAATTCGCGTGAAAATCGCAAAGTGCTCTTGTGAATGTCGGACACTGAGTCGGTGACGCGTCGACAGGCTGGCGGGACGCGAGACGTGGAAAGAATGTGGAACAAGCCTGCAGCCGGGTGACGGTGTGTTTATTCTACGGACTCTTTGGTTCAACAGGTACCCAGCACGATGCCCGTCCGTGGGACAAGTGTCCTCATCGGGGGGCCGTAAACTCTCGGAACGTATTCACATGGACTGTATAAACACGGAACAAAAACGTATAGTCCCGGACCGTAGAGATGCGGAATAAAGTATTCTTCAAACCGTATTATGCCGGACCGTGTAATCGCGGAATTTCAAAATATGCGGACTGTATTGTCACGGACCGTATAAATCTGGAAAGTATACTCCCGGACCGTATTCTAGCGGAAAAAAAAAATACGTACACCGTATATTCGCGGACCGTAGAAATGCGGAATAAAATATTCTTCAAACCATATTAGGCCGGACCGTATAATCGCGGAATCCTAATTTTAAAACATTCTTAAGGGGTTTTAAATAGGCAATTTAAAATGTTAATTTATTATTAGGTACCTACCAACATTTGATCTCTGTCAGCTACTAACTACTAAAGATACTAATTTAAAACTATTCAAACAATAATAAATAGAATAATAGTCATGTTTAATAAAAAAAAAATAGGTTTACAGTTTATATCGTGACGACGGCGACGTAACATATTAATTATGCCGTATAGGTACCTAATGTTTAAATTCCATAAAACTAAAAAATCGAGTTAATAATTATTACATTAAATACAGGAACTTATTGCTTAAAGGTCTGGTCTCTAATCAAAGATGTTGCTAATCCTTTTTCTTGTGACTATAAACATATTAATGGTATTATGAATTTAACTTATTCTTTAACAATGTTGGAAATAATATTTCATATTTTTATTTTATGGTTACAGAAATGTACAGGTGTTTATTATACATGATGAATGTCATATTAGTGACTCAATCTTCTTAACACATATTACTTTAAATTAAATAGAAGAAAATATTATAAACATAAAAGAAAATTCCTCTTTTTTGATGGTAAATAGAATACATGGAGAACTACATCGATACCTTTAAATATTTTTTTATGATAAGGCATCTGGATTCTGGAATATATTTTCCTACAAAATTTTAAAAAATCCCTCATCATTCCTTCATATAAATCAGGGGCTTCTGAAAATTTTACTGACCTACCTCTCTTAGTCTCTCACACTGTCTATTTCAAAAATGTCTTAAAAATAGATTAGTAAATTTCTCAAATGATCATAATTTTTTTTTTCTTATAGTCAGTGTGTTTTCAGGAAAGGTATATCTAACTAATGGTCAGGGATTAAAGTATGAAAAATTTCCAGAGGGGACTAATGTCTCTATATAGTTTTAAGCGTTCCATATATAATTTTATGAATAATGTCTAATGTATAAAATCTTAATTTTTTAAAGGGGACGCTTTTTAACCACCATCAGTGGTCCTCCTGCGTCTCCCCACTTTACCCCTGCTAATGGTGATCTACTACAGACTTCGAAATTCATTCATTCAAGTCTGGATAAAGGAAATAAGGTAATAGGCATGTTCCTTGATTTAAAAAGAGCATTTGATTCGACGGTCAACTATAATATTTTTATAAAGAAATTAAAGTATTACGGTATCCGTAAAATTGCTCTATTACTATTCTCATCTTACCTTTCCAATAAACATTCAACACAGGTAGTTAGAATTAATGAGTGCTTTAGTTTTTCGATTTCTGATAACTGTGGTGTTCCTCAAGGTACCGTCTTAGGACCTATAGTCTAATATAGTCCTATACTATTCCTTATATACATTAATGTACGTATTAATTTGAAAATTAATGGTTAGGTAATTTGTTTTGCAGATGATACATTAGTGTATCCTACTGTGTATCTTACTGTATTAGTGTTACCTTGAACATGATAATATTTACAATCTATGTAGCTTAGCTAATAAATGTATCAACAACATTAAAGCCTGGTTAGATAACAATTTTCTTGAACTTAGTATTAACAAATCTAAATCTATGTTTTTTAGTATAAATAATAATAATGTAGGTACCTTAGAAAGATGTCATAGCTCATGGCTAAAATTGTTTAAGTAAAATAGAATTTATGATTGCCGTTTCTTTGAAAATATTTAGGCATTATCTTTGATCATAATCTTAATTGAAAAGATCACATACATAACATACAATATTTGTAATTGTATTAGAAAATTATTTTATAAATTTAAAATATTAAAAAAAAAAGTAAATCTTTGTAATAATCGTATAATTTACATTGCACTAGCTCAAACTATAATTAGCTATAGAATATGTGTATTTGGGGATCTGCTTTTAAATCAAACTTTTACCCACAAAACATATCTTTAAATAACTTGTTAATAATAATTTTAAATAGACCTAGATTTTACTCAGTCTATTATCTTTATTCCAAACTCTCAGTTGATAGTTTAAATTCCATTTTCATAAAAGAATATTCTACTTAAATGTACTCTGTTGAATTTGATGACGCAAAATTTAATCATAAATATAATACTAGGAGTAAGGAAAAATCTAATACTAAATACATTTTTTGTTCTACTACTTTTGGCAAATATTGACAAATTAATGTTAGTGTGACATATTATATTGAAATACTTTTTTTTATTAATTTTGAACATCTATATTATATAAATGAACTATGGGTACATAATAATATAATCATAGTTAAAAAAACTTAATGTATTTTTTATGAACTTTCTCATTTCAGCATAAGCTTTGTTTTTGAAATGAGAAAATAACCATTATTTCATTGTATTATATATGTATTGTGTAACTTGAAAAATGATGGAATCAATTACAGTTATTATTATTATTATGATTATCAAAAAATTTATAACATTCAATGTTTAATAATAATATGTAAAATTAGTACCTAGTTACTTAAACATTCAATTTAATATAAAATCAAAGTTATTTAGGAAAATACAATGAATGGATTTCACAATTTGATGAGTGTAAACAATTTAAAAAGAAAATCTACTCAAATACATATATATATATATATACAATTTAGTTTTAGTAACTATTCTGAAGTAGGAATTGTATATGGTATAACTAATCAAATTGAAATTTTGAATTTAATTTCTATTTGTTGTAGAAATCTTAGAATTTTTTATGGTAATCAAATTTAAACAATTTGTGGATAATGAAAGTGATTAAATCAGATACCTATATTTCTTAAAAATAGCTAAAATTATTATTATACTTTTTCCAAATGTCAATAACTAATAAGTAAAATAAATATACTGCCATACTATATTTTCTGTGAAACCAAGTTAAGTAAAATATTACTAAAATAACAAACAAATGTAACTTATGACAACATTTAATCTTTTATTTTGTCATCTTATAATTAATAGTAACATAATAATATAATACAATCTAACAATTTATAATTTACTTGAATATATTTAAGAGAAAAAAATTCTTTGAAAGGAAATATTAGGTGTTCGGCACATCGGACAAACCGAGTTTGGCACCTGTAAGCGTTCCACACATGATGCACATACCCATGCATGGCCGCATGGCAAAATTATATACTCGGCTGCAGTTCCATTTACCGCTACTACCATACACACCAAGCATACAGAACTTTCTGCCGGCGGATCAGCAACATTAACACTTTCTTCTAAAGGAAATTCCCTAGGCCTTCGTGCTGGTGGGTCTCCAACATTAAGTTCAACCTCTAAAGGTAATTCGTCAGGTGGTATTTGTTCAAAATTTTCAATCTATCCTTCATCGGACATCTCGTCATTGTTGCGCAGAGCCCAAATCCATTGTCTTTGATCGTACCCTTCAGTGACATAAGAACATCTCTGCAAAAATTGCCAACTGGAAATCAATCCTAAATTTAGCTGTTGGGTCGCATTTTTGATTCGCATAGAATTAGCTAGAAATTTGAATCTTAAATGCCTAGTTGGATTTAAATTATTGTTCAGCTGATTGACAATAATGTGATAGTTTTTATTTAAATTTGTTAAATGATCTGAAATAAATAAAATTAACCATTATAATTTCTATTGTAAACTTCAAAAGAATAATTTTATGAGTTATGAAATAACAATAAAATCATTATACCTATATTAACTTACCTAAAAATATCCATAAACTTGGATGGTTGGTGCCAAATTTGACTTTTAGAGAGTTGTGGAAACTCTCAACGTTGTTGTTGGTTCTCCGAGGTAATCCATAAACCGATATGATGTGTGGTCCAACATTTCTTAACCAGTACCTATGCCATAAAATACATTGTACTGTACATAATTGTAAATAATAATATTGTTTTGATACATTGCAGTTTAAATTTTTATATTCTAGTTAGTATTTATTCTTAAATATAATATTTTGTGTTTTTTGTTTCTAGTGCATAAAATACCTACCTTTGGTAATACTGAAATAGTTGTTCCAAATGAACTCCATGGTTTCGAGCAAATGCTGTTATTAATGAAAAACTATTTTCAATGTTAAGAGCGGGCAATAGAGGAAGGCACATTAATAGTCTTAAAGCTTTTAGAGCATTGTCATTATTATTGATATGGTTTAAATAACCCAGTTTTTTCATTTTTCTCCATACAGCCTTTAAAATTGAAACAAATATAGATTAGGTACCTAATGAAAATAATTCTTATAAGCAGTTAATTTAAATAATTTTAAGTGTACATCCTGGCAACCCATGCCAGTCCGTCACTGCCTATATGTTATAAATGTTAATCAAAAATTTAAAAGTGGGTAACATAGTGTAACTCTTACTTGGTTGTGATGGAACCAACACCCAACAGATTGGGCTCCAGGAAAAACTGATAATAGTACATCCCTCAAAGCACTTTCATAATCTGTTATAATTATACTTGGTCTTAATGTAGGTAGTAAATTATTTTTTACAAATTGAAAGACACATTCATACGATCTTCTCGTTTTACTCTCCATCAGAACATAAATGATAGGTATGGACTATAAAAATGTTTTAAAGTATTATTATTTTATAATGACATTCATAATTTTGTCTGTCTTACATAATTTTGAATCATGAAATGCAAAACCAATAATTGATATCCCATATTAGCTGGGATTATTTTGAAGGTGGCGTCTGCATCGATTTCATTTACATCGTTAAGTAACACAGTATGAATAAGTTGAGTACAAGCAAATATGATGTTTGTTTTACCATCAGTGTCTAGTACACAACATCTGAAAAAATTTGCCTCACAACAACTAAATCTTTCAAGTTGCCCGTCATCAAATAGTGTGGCAAGTTCCCTTAAATTATTCGGTAATCTGGGCAAAGATTTTCTTCTGGCCAAACGCATAATAGACTCTGCAGATGACCAGGGGTATAAAGATGCAGCTACCAAATGCCTATATATTATACTTATTATTACACAATGTTCAATTTATTATATTATATGTGATATAGTTACCTTCTTGCTTCCTCATCATAAATGGTTATTAACAATATATTTTCAGTTGATCCTCTTTGTTTTAATACATTTCTAAAACTGTTGATGAGGACGGTATTGTTTGCATCCCCCACATGATTTCTATGTGGTTGAATTATAACAATGCTGTTATCTCTTAATCTTTTCATTGATCCCGTGCATAAATGTGATGAAGCTTTATTACATTTAAAGTATCTAAAAAAAAAGTCTTGTTATGTTGGAATTGTATTTATCTAATTTTCTTATTTTTTTTGCTTACACATTTACAATTACAATTAGAGAATAGTTTTAAACATTTTTATTGAGAGTATGCAGCTTCTACAACATTCTGTAGCACATAAAAAGCATATTTCAAGGTTGAAGAATTTAATATGTTTTTTTTTTTTTTAATAACAATTTTATGGGACAAGCCCTTTAACATAGAAGATATAATAATAATCTTGACATCCAAAAATATAAAGTAAAATAATAATACAAGGTGATTCTTTTATCATGAACCACTCATTATTTCAAAAAGCATTAATGTTTTTGAAAATATTTTTGTACATAGTTTCAAGTTGTAAAAAAAACAACGTTTAAATTAAAAAATTATATTTTTAAATATTTTTTATCCTTATAATTTTTTAAGTTTTTTACTTTTTTGAATGACAACATAGAGTTTTAATTTCATATTCCAAAACAAAATATTTTTTTAAGTATTTTGATACATAAAAATCGAATTTAGGGCCAGTAGTTTATGAGTTATAAGTGTTTAAAGTTTAGATGAGTAGAGTGGTGTGGTACGGGGTTACCCCGCAAAATGTTTGTCCACTACTCCGCTTGTCTAAACTTTAAATACTTATAACTTATAAACTACTCACCCTAAATTCGATTTTTATGTATCAAAATACTTAAAAATATATTTTGCTTTGGAATATGAAATTAAAACTCTATGTTGTCATTAAAAAAAGTAAAAAAACTTAAAAAATTATAAGGATAAAAAATATTTAAAAATATAATTTTTTAATTTAAACGTTGTTTTTTTTACAACTTGAAACTATGTACAAAAATATTTTCAAAAACATTAATGCTTTTTGAAATAATGAGTGGTTCATGATAAAAGAATCACCTTGTATATAGGTACAATATAAATTTTAGTTTAAATTAAATGATATAATATAATACACAAATTGTGAAAAATATAATAATAATGGTTTTAACTTGAAAATAATGACAAAGCTTTCATTCTGATACAATCACGAGACAAATAAAAAAAAAAAAATCAACCTCATTACAAATTAGGTTACATTTACATAACGTAAGAGCTCTAGGGAAAAAAGAATCTAATCTACTCTAACCTATCTAAAATTCTAAAATCTCTTGAAGAATAATTGCATCATTCTGATTATTAACAAACTGAATACAATTTAGTGTCATCTACAAACATTAAGACATTAACTGACAAATTAAAAACAGATGGTTAGGTTAGGTTAGAAGGAAGGAGTTTTCAGAAGGAATTTTTTTGATTGTTTTAATTATTTGTTATTTAAATACCTACAGATTACCTAATATTAATTATTATTAATAAATACTTACGAGATTCCATTTTTACAGCCGTTACTTCTGTACATAAATCCTTCATGTTCCATTACCAAAACCAAATATTTATAAAATATATAAAACAATTAACAATGTATTTAAATGTGCGAAATGAACAGTTTTGTAATAAGTAGTAGCGACAGCTTCTTTCAACTACACCACTGACTGACTACACTGAATGACTGTCGTGTACTTTAGTCGACACTGGTGTACAAATATAAATAACAAATAATAGGTATTTATAATTTTACTTTGTGGATATTATAAAATATAAATAGATATTATAGTGCGCAACACGCACACATTTGACAATTGATTTCGGCGGGTGGGATTGTACTTGATAAGGCGACGACGTATTATATTATGTAGGTACCTTTTACCCTAGAACAATGTGACACACTGACAATAATAGTTTTATATTTTCCACCTGCAGGCTGCAGCAATTAAAGTCAAAAGAAAATCCAAAAATACCACAGAAAATTGAAAAGTATAGATTCGTATATTCTTCGGTTAGGTTAGGTTGTGTTATCTTTTTTTATATTTTGGACAACAATATTGAACAAAAAAAATATTGTAAAAAAACGATTATTTTTATAAATTTCAAAAAGTTTTAAATTAACAGTAAGGGGGAAAAGAGATTAATAGCCCAATAAAAACCAAATAGCCTTGTAAAACTTGACAAAATGGGTCGCGTATAACTTGCTGGGACAACGGGAAACAAAGTTGAAACACGATACGACTCACGACCGTTTTTCTTTTAAATCCTCGCTGTCATATTGTTTCCAGGAAGGGTTATATGCTCGCTGCATATGAGACACTCGGCGATTTTACGTGCATGTAATTGTATGTCATTTTGAAAACTAATTATGATGGTGGTAGAAATCATGGGCGTGCTCGAGGTAGGGGGTGGTTAAGGGGGTCCAAACCCCCCATCCACACAAGGGACAATTTACAAATATAATATATGTACTTGCATATATAGTTATAATAATTTATTGGGAACAATTTATCTAGTTTAACACCCACACGAATTAAAAATTTATTTAGGAAACCTATGTATTACAACGAGTTAAGAAGGATATTGCAAAAGTTAAATAATTAGTTTTTAAGTTATAGCCTGAACAGTGAACACCCTTTTTTTCAATTTATTTGTTTTGATGTACCTGTGTAGTTAAACATGCTGAAAACGTTGGGGAAGTCTGAAATTACCAGTCAGACTTATTTTAAAGTTATAGCTATATAATTTAAATTTTTGGTATTTTCAGATACCTATTACCTACGCCCGGCGTGGTCACTTTTTTTGATGCCGCGCGGCAAAATTTCCGATCGGCCTAGAAGGCGGTGTACATCAAAGGAAAGCCGTGCAGGTTGTGCCACTCGCCTGTGCCGCGTGTGTGTGGACGAATTTTCAGAAAAAATGCGCGGCATCAGTATACTTATTTTTTAAGTTTTTAAATTATTTATTAAGTATCCAGACAAACTTTTTTTCAAATGCCGCATTGTGTGGACGCGTATTTGCGTGCGGCCGTGCCGAGGGTTAAAAGCTGCTTCGTCTGGACGCGTTAGTAAGACCACTATGTGATGGGTGGGTGCAGAATTAATTTTGCGATTTACTATATTATAAATTAATAATTATTATAAATACCATAGGTATATTTCAAAACCATGATAATATTAGATGGGACAAATATGCATTAGGTAAACGGCACTCTCGCCATGCCGTCGTGTTGCTTTTTATTACAAAATTATCATACTAGAAATATAAAATGTCCGTATGCATCAACAACGCCTTTCGTCGATTCCAAGAATCGAGACGAATCAAAACTTTACTATACTTAAGAAGTACCCATGTACAACAACACTTTTATTCAGGGCCGGCTAAATCGAAAAAGTGCACTAGACAAAATCAAATTTTGCGCCCCTAATAAGTAATAATATAATATTATCAGTGTTTTGAAAATGCCGTTTTCTTACTAAAATGCCAACCTAGGCGTGGGCCTATGTCGCTTACCCTTTGAGCCGGGCCTGCTTTTATTATTCTTTTTCAACAAATCACTCGAAACTTCGAATATGGCCAAGGACGCAGTGTTTGTAAAGAACGTCGTTCATACGTTCACGTTCATATTTAGTGAACGATAAGCGAACGTCACTCGTTTTTTTCAAATAGAAAGTGAATGTGAACGTTTATATTTTTAATGAATTTGATTGATTTTTAAGACGTTCAATTTATCTATCATTTAATACATTTTTTCTATGTATATTATGTATAAAATATATTATAATAATAATATTTTCCCTTTCTCTATGCAAAGTGCCCTAATATTTTTTTAATTGTATCACTAGGAAATCCTTATCTGATATAATATACCTAATTCAGATACTTTATAAATTGTATATGCTCTAAAGTCTAAATTGTATTTTTGGGTCGAGTCGTATATTATGTTTATGAGTTTTTAATTTTTTATATTGACTGCAGGCAAACAATTCATAAAAAAAAAAGAATTAAATTAACGACCCTTTGAACACACAAATTGTTTTAAAGAACTTGAACTAGTTTCTACAATCAAGTTTCATATGAAGTCGAAACATTTTAATGTTAAACCTAACTTTATAGATAGGTAGGTACTGCATTCATAATTTTGAATATTATTGATAGGTAACTGATATTATAGTGGTTGTAACTTATAACTTATAGTTGTATTGGTGTGGCAGTAATGCAATAGGTATACGTGTAGTCGCGTACGTCCTGCAGATGGGGGTGCTATATAGCATCCCCCTTGGTGTGTTGCTTCCTGGAAAACAAATAGGTACTCTACACAATATGCGATTTTCAGTAGGCTGGAGACATTTCTAAATAATATTGCTACCAAAAAAAAAAAATTGATAAGTAACTTTTCCCTAAATATACTAAATCCCTAAATGTACCTAAATAATTTACTTAACCAACCCAGAAAAATTTTTTTTTTTGAAACATACGATGTCGTATATCAACGAGAAAACGATGGTGCAAAAAAGAATTTGTGTAAATCATCATCTTCGCCCCGGAACACATTGTATAGTGACTATTATAATACTTATTTTAAATACATTTTGAATATGGGTGGAAAAATTTTTGATAATCTGATTCCAAAATATAAACTCTGAAGAACCTTTATTATGGCTATGTAGATATTTATATTAATTATTATGTCTGTATACCTAGTAGTAATAAAATTGACATTGATGATGGTGACTATTTATAATAATATATTAATATATAAATTGTGTAGGTAGTTGTAATCGTCGTCTGCGCC